ACACCTTCGGCTCCCTGTAACTTGCACTGCCGCTGGAGACTAGGTGTCCATATCCTCAACCTCCACAGTTGTCGCTCAAAGGCCATTGCCGCACTGTTCTCAGCACTCAACTGGCGCATTACTTGGTGGACCACCTCGTTCGAAAGGTCTGGGCCATAGCAGACCAACCGCCTCTTTACCTCCTCAATGTAAGCGTCGTCCTCGTAGCGACGTATCATGTTGAGGTGCTCTTCGCAGGGCTCTATCCATCCCTGCTCCATGCTGCTGTAGTTAGGGACGCTGCACAGTGGCTAGCGTTGCCCTCAATAACCTCTCATACGATACCAGTGTCTCCGAGCTGCTTCTCCTCGCACTAGGACGCCATCCCACCGCTGCCACCAATGTAACGGAGCTCCCTGTACTCCGACTGAGTACCCTCCGTTGACGGATGCTCCTAGCGCTTCCTGAGGACTCCAAGCGCTGCAGCAGACACCACAACCACCGCAGACTCCGCAACCGCCGTATCTTGACTGGAGTCTCGCCGTCTTCCTTCCACCCTGGATCAGCTTCTGTCCTCCAGGACTGTGTGGGAAAGAACTCTTCCTTCCACCCTGTATGAACCTCCAGCATCCAGGACTGTGTGGTGAAGACCCCTCCTCCAAGGAGAGCGTGTCAGGAACAAGCTCTTAAAAGAGCTAAGTGATTCAAGCTCAGGGGAGCATGCAGAGCATAGCAATCCCCAGTGTGATTATAACAGCTCCCTCCAATAACGAGACAAGGCTACATTTAGAGGGATCAAGAAGAACTGTCAAAACCTTTATTCCCTTGGGACCAGCCAATACAGTCACCACAATAACATTGTTGTGAAACCTCAATAAAATCACAAACAGTCAAACCATATCAAGAAACACACAGTGACTTATCACAACACAATGGCACATTTTAAAGGGGTGGGGGGAGACAATATTTAACAGTAAATATCTCACCTGCCTGCAGAATTAGCAATATGCAAATCTACCCGAATATGCAAATGAACCAGTCTTGCAATTCAGGTAGTGCATATTGCTGTTGCTACCAACAGAGGGCACTAGACCAGCTCCATAGCCAAACCCACCTAGGTTGGTAGCAAACCTCAGCAATACAAGAGAGCAGGCAATACATTACACAGTACACACACACACACTATAAACAATTACATTACACACACCCTGCACCTATAATGGGTACAGGGTGACTGAAACATAAGATAAATAAAGCAGCCCACATAAATAGTCTGTCTGAAGGTAGACTAGGGGCTTTAAAGCCAGATAGATGAAAGAGTCATAGTCACAGGGGAGGAGGCTGGCAAGTAGGCCTCTCCAGGACCAAGTGGCGAAGGGCACTTCGTCACACCTGGGTTGTCTACATTTGAAAATAGTATGCCATGATGGGGTTATTTCACATTCCTGGGCTACCATATGGTCTCAAAAGGCAACACAGACCCAGCAAACCAATCTGGCAAACTGAATTGGGCAAGCCCTTTATTGACCCTGTACCTTTTCAAACCACCATAAAACCAGTACATGGGGGGTATTGTTATACTCGGAAGACATCGGTGAACACAAATATGAGTGTTTACAACAGAAAAACTTATCACAACAATGAAATCACCGGTAAAAGTCCAGTTTTTGTGTAAAAAGAAAAAGCAAAAATCAAGCGTTTGCAGCTAATTGGCTACTACAAGAGACTGGACATACCCCATTTTGAATCCAGTGGGTTATCTACTTTTACAAATGGCATGCCATGATGGGGGTTCATTTTCATTCCTGGGTTACTATACGGTGTCAAAGGCAACATAGGCCCAGCAAACCAATCTGGCAAATTTTAATGTGCAAACATGGAAAAGCCCTACATTTGACCCCTGTAAGTTTGCAAAAACCCATAAAACCTGTACATTGGGGGCACTGTTGTACTCGGGGGATGTTGCTGAACACATATTGTAGTGTTCTTTGTCAGTAACACATAACAGGAACTGAGAATCCATGCCTAAAGTACAATGTGAGAGACAAAATAACACAAAAAAAATGACTACCCAAAAGTTTGACAAAGACTGGTGGTAGAATTAGTGCATGGAGAGTGTTAAAATACCACCATTTGAAATACCCTTGGGTGTCTACTTTTCAAAAATATATGGTTTGATGGGGGTAAATTACATTGGCCAACTGCAAAAATGTCCCAGATAGGACATGGGTGCATGATGGCCAATTGTGAAAATTCCAAGTTGAAAAACTGGAATGCGCAGCCTCCAAATAAGGTCTTTAACCCCCAAAGAACTCGACACACCTTTACATGGGGGATATCACTGTACTCAGGAGATATTGCTGAACACGTATTGGGGTGTTCTTTGGCAGTAACCCTTAAAGTTCTCAGTACATGTATTCTTAAATTGCAATGTGTGTCAAAAAAAATCATCAATTATATCTTTTTTTTTTTTATTTGGCATAGATAGGTGGTAAAATGGTTGCATGAAAAGAGTCAAAATACAACAAGTTTAATACCTTAGGTTGTCCTCTTTTACAAAAAAAATATATACATGTGAAGGGTTATTCAGGAATTCCTGACAAATATCCGGGTTACAATATAACTTGCGTTAATTTTGAAAACAAAATGGTTTGGAAATAGCAAAGTGCTACTTGTACTTATATCCCTATAAAGCTAAGAACATGTTAACAGTGGGAATGTCTAAACTCAGGGCAAAATTTAGAAACTATTTAGCACGGGTGTTTTTTGGTGGTTGTAGATGCATAACAGAAATTGGGGTCAAAGTTCGAAAAAAGTGTGTTTTTTTTAAAAATAGTTTCATCATATTTTTAAATAGTAAATTATATAATATGATTAAAATAATGGTATCTTTAGAAAGACCATTTCATGGTGAGAAAAACGCTATATAATACGTGTGGGTACAGTAAATGAGTAAGAGGAAAATTACAGTTAAACAAAACACAGCAGAAATGTAAAAACAGCCCTGGTCCCACACGGTAAGAAAATTGAAAAGTGGTATGGTCACTAAGGGGTTAATAACAGTAGCAGAATTTAAATATGGGGTATTTCCTTTAGTAGTACAAATGCAGTATGTGAAAATATGTAATAACACAATAATAATAATAAAACCCATTAAAGAAACACAAAATGTTAAATCTAAAAAGCAGATTTGACAGAGGTTGGTGATAAAATGGTTAAATTAAAAATTGTCAAAATGCTCTTGGTTAAATACCCTGGGGCAATCATAGGCAACCTTCGGCTCTCCAGATGTTTTGGACTTCACCTCCCATGATGCTTTGCCAGCATTATGGGTGCAAGAGCATTATGGAGGTTGCAGTTCGCAACATCTGGAGTGCCAAAGATTGCCTATCCCTGCCTTGGAGAATCTACTTTCTATAAATATATATTTTTGTGTATCAGTTTTGAATTCTATGACTAGTATTAAAAAGTATTGCACTTTAAAAGAGCCTTGGTCCTTAAGGGGTTAAGATATAGAGGGGTCTAAAAATAAAAACATTAAGGTGCTGCTTTAAATATACCCAACACTTCTGATCTGAAACGTTAAAGTATTTATATATTATTGAAAATATTTAGTGCAAGGCAGAACAAACAAGAAAATCCAGTTTTTAATGTGCATAACATATGTTTAATTTATATGTCATAATTTTGTTCTTACGGTAATTTAGTTTGATCTGAGAAAGAAAGCCCAGATAAACCAGCTAATCAAGTATTACTATTGCCAGGAAGCTTTTGACATTTAAGTAATAATAAAAAAAAAATTAAAAAAAAAACAATTCACAGAATTCAGGTCAACATATGTACTTTGTTCAACACATTATCAATGTGCATCATACCTGTCACATTTCATGTTACTAAAATAAATTAGTATACGTGTCTTTTATATTATTGCACTGGAGTAAAAATGTAAGAGAACAAACAATTCTAAAATGATTAAGTGGCTTAAAATACCCAGAGATATACACTTTGTCAATAGAAATATTGATTTATATTTTGCTGATACAAATGTCAAATGCTAAAGGTGCATT